CCCTACACAGCAAATAAAGAAATGTTATGTTCCACTCCCTATACAAACTGTTTTATTTTTCAGCGTGAAAGATCTACCCCTCTGTCAGCATAGAAAATCCAGTTAAATTCTGTGGTGGCAGCGGGAGTGTGAGATACCATGCAGAGTGTTTGCCCTATTTCCTCAGATTACACAGTTAGCATTTTGCTGGGAAGACAGAGATTTGTGAAATTAGTATTTTAAGTGCATTTTTCATCTATGAATCTTGCTTACTCATTTCAAATTTCACTCAGGGTATCTCGGAGAAGGAATTCCAGGAAGCATGTAAAATGCTGCAGGGGATGCCCAGGGATTTTACAGCGGTAGCATAGTAATCCATCATTTGGGTTGAGGAGTGAATTACAATTACTCTACAGGAACAGCATTTTTGGAGGAAAAACACTGCAAAAAATATTTCAAGAGGAAGTTCACCCTTTGTCTTCTCTCACGGGAAGCAGACCCAAAAAGTCATGAAGCAGGCTCTCATAAATTCCAAACTAACATGGCAGTGTGATATGGAAATACATCCTGGCACCTTCCCAGCTGTTAGGCTCCACGAAGGCTGTAAACTGTCAGAAAGACAGCTTCGCTGGCTCCCCAGTGTAGAAAAATCAATGAATATTGCAAGAGCAGTTTATTGAATGAATGTCAAGACTTCCTGGTTTTCCTTGAGTCAGAACGTTTTATGGTATAATAGAAAGATGTGATCAATGGCACTTCAAGAGATCATAGCTATTAAAGTAGCTAAAATGAAGGGAGAGACCATGCATAGCTAAAAACAGCAGAAGATCCTCACTTCAGTTTTGGGCATAACAAATCTCAGCCACATTACATAACTGAACAATGAAACATTGACAACATTGGAAAAAATTATTTTTCAGCAAACTTATATCCTAAAAACGACAGCTAGGCCCAGCAAGATGCTCCTGAAAACCGAACCTCATCATCATCATCAGTGGATGATGAAGTAGGCTGAACTGTTTGAAACACAGCCAGTCTGACACAACAATACAGCATTTCTTGAGGGGCCATGTAAGCCACCGAATATAAATACTCAATTTAAAAATAACTTCTAGATAATAGAAGTTATTATCCTGAGGGAGATGTGTCTAAGTCTGCGAACAGAAAGAACCAACTAAATCTCAGTGTCGGCAGCCCAGGCCAGGAAGGATTCAAGACTGCACAGCATGGTAACATTGTCCCGCGTGTCCTTGCTTTTTACCTCAGCTGGGAATAAACAAATCACCAGCCTAACAGGAGGAGGCAGAACACTTGACTGGGCCTTTGAGGATCAAAGGTACCTCCCCACCTTTATCTAACCTCTGCCTTCATCACTGAATCACAAAACAGAAGCACAGAGTAATTTAGGTTAGAAGAGATCTCAGGAGGTCGTCTGTTCCCACACCGCACCCACAGCAGGGCCAACTTTCATGCTGGATCAGGCTGTTCAGGGCCTTGTCCAGTCAAGTTTTGAATGCCCTCCAGCGCATCCAAGGACACTTGAAAACACACGGCAATGCCAGCAACTGAACTTCGCTGGCCTCTGTTCCTTGTTGGGAGTGATGTAATGAACACAGTTAATTACTACTGATTTGTTGTTGTTGTGTTTTCTTGGGGGATGGAGAGTTGGTATTTATCTATTTATTTATTTCCAATTATGGCATGAAAAATAAATGCATCTCATTAGTTCAATCCCATTCCTGTTAAAAAAAATTACCTCAGATTGCTTTTTTTCTCTGGTTTATGTCACATTACTGTGGGTGGTCAGTAGTGCTAACTTTAAAATATCTTATTCCATCATGTGGGTATACTCTTAAGGATGAACTTTGGTACGTATGCATACCAGAAACCCTAATCCCACATTAATATTTCTAGCCTTGATAACAATTAGAAGTCTGATAAACCGATAAAAAAAATATTATTTTCAATTACTGGGGTACCATGGTAAAGAATATACCATGATAAAGAGGAAACATTACTTACCTATTCATTTCTTCTAGGCAGTCTGTTGCAAAGTAGAAGCTCTTTATTTTGGGGTGGCATGCTTTGAATGCACTATAAGATAAGCACAAAGAATAAAAATATACCATTTCTGTCAAACAGTTTGTGTACAAATATGCAGACTGACCTGCTCTGTGATTCTTCGGAATGCGGCAGGTTTCATGGGCATTTTGAAACTTCAGTCTGAATGTTGCTTGATAAACTTACAGATGGATTCCTACTTGCCTGAGTACATCCGCATTTGTGAACCTAACTGGTACTTTGTAAACATGTCAAAAGCCCTTGAATGACTTGGAAATGTGAATCCTTCCAATAATCGTTGATATTATACATCTAAAAACTTCTTGGGTAAATTTGAAAATCTTATTGAGTCTATTTAAGTACCTATTAGTTGTATCCCAGGGATCTCTAAAGTAAGAAGAGTTTGATCCCTCCATGTCGTCTTGCATATTTATGACTGTGGTTTGTGTCCTACGCAAACAAATATAGAGGGCTGCCAACTTATGTGTTCTAACTGCCTCGTATCTTTATTATAACTTTGAATCTAAAGATATACATGAATTTATCAAAAATTTTATTTTATGTTAATAAATGAGAAGGAATATGAAGATGAATAACCATGTGGTAATTGCATTCAGCTGAAGATGACATTAAAAATACAGCACTCTCAATTCTCTTTACTTAGTCATAAGACTGTAAGATCTCTAGAATAAGATGAAATAAAGTTTTCTGAATTTAATATAATTCTTTTTAATCCCTAATTATAATTTTCATTCAATCTGAACTTGAGAGATGCATAAGGAAGCTACTAGGGAATAGAAGTGGCAGTAGATAGATGTTTGGAAGTAGATAATAATAAAGAGATTCCTTAAATAGTCTCAACTCTAAGTCATTTCTAATTCCAGGAATTGCTTTTTCAAGTTACTCTAAAACCAAATATATCCCACGTACTTTTCATCTTACTCTACTAATATTTTCTGTATCTTTTTCTTGGTCACCATGAGTCATTATTAGCTAATGTTTCTTCATCTGCCACCTAGCAAATAACAGAGCTGCCAATATTTAGACTTAACCCTTGCATTTATTGTTACATTACAGTTCATGGACAGTTCAGTGTATCTCATTAATTTTTTTATTGCACACGCTGTTGTCACATATTCAAGAAATCATAGTTATGGGTTGGTTCGTTTTTTTTTTTTTTAACCTTTGAAGACTTCAAATTTATGCAAAATGTATTTATACAGTGAAGTTCTTTGAAAAGTGTGTGCAAATTAGAAAACACTGGAATAGTTCCAAAAGCACAGCACAACATGTTTAGCTTAGTTTTAAAAGTCTGTGCCGTTTTACTCTTGTAACTAATACAATATTAGTACTAATAGTAAACTATAGTCTCGGTTACACTGACCTGAGGGACTAAGCAGTAGCAGGACAAAAGGTAGCTGTAAGAGTGACATTGCTCTGTGCATCTCTAATAGTCTTTCTCCTTCCTCAAATGTCAGTTCTTTCACCAGCACTTGGCCAGTGCAATTCAATTCTGTATGACTGATCTCCTGAGGCAAGCTCTGATTCTCACCTTAGACTGGCTTTGCACAGACACCACACGCTGCACTGTAGTCTAGTCAGACTATACGCAGGAGATAATAATCAAGCTCAAAACCTTACAGCATGAATTATTATACTTCACATAAAAATGCTTTTTATTAATGCTTTTATATGGTATAACCCCTAAGCTCTCCCTCCATTGCGCAGTAATTTGAAAACTATTAAGAACAATAATCATATTTTTTACAACTTTTCTTCATGTGCATATAATTAAAAGGAGTATTGCTGTCAAGGAAACCACAAACTCATAGCATTATAGACTATTATTTTGATTAGTTGGCAAATGTTAAAAAACCCCACACTAACATTCATAACATTTACATTAAAATTCTGACATTTATATGGTAATTACCAGATGTAAGAATTAGATTAGGAATCATTATACATGGCATTATGAAAAACCTGTAATGCAACGTTTCTACTATTAATAGCTTAAATGTAAATGAGTGCTTTCTGTGATTTCTTGCAGTTTTCAGAGACAAAAATGAAAGCTGGGGAAGCTTCACTTGGGCACACTGATGTTGTTATATATTATTATTGATAAAATACTACAAATGCATACAGGAACAGACTTTGCTAACCAAGTTCTACAGAAGAGCAAGATAACAGCAGAATTGTATTTATGTGCAGTTTCCTTTTACTTGAGCATATTAAGGGTAAGTTTACCTTTGCACAGAGGGTAATCATAAAACATCCAAATTGCATAAAAGAGACTTGAGAGGTATTCCAGTATTGTTTTGGCATCTGGACATTGATAATTTCAATTTCTCCTCTCCCTAGCTACTCGTATTTTGCAAATGAGGATAGTGAGTCCATGAGAAATCCCGAGTGGGGAGGAGCCTTTTCTGATGCCCACTAGATGGCATGAGCTTGTTAGTGATACCTGCTGCAGGTCAAGATTCTAATGCAAGAGATTTTGATCATTATATGAATATAGTTTGGGGTATACTCTGATCAAATTTAGGATTTCTTTTATCTGATTAGTATAATATGATTTTACTGTCAAATATTCTTATCATTCTTAGTCTCCTTAATGTGGAACTTTTTCCTCCCCTCACGTCAGCTGATTACCAGCAACTCCAACTGCTCTGGCAAAACAGGTGGTATCTGTCTGTGAGTAAGAAATGTGAAATAGTTTTGTGTACGACGCTGTGCACACACATATATTAGAGTGGTACATTACCTGTTGTTAATTACACAGTAATTAGCAAATACCATACCTCCTCAGAGGAGCTCCTTACAAAAGTTCATTTTTAATTCTTAAAAGAGAAAGTAATAACTAAACAAATACTCCTGCATGCTTACACTATTTGATACACTGTTTTCATGGATCTACTTTTTGCTGCCATGTCAGCGCTCTGTTTTCCGTTGGTCTGAACTCTGTGCAACATCTCCACCTTCTAGCGTTCATTTTCCCAACCCTCTTCCAGTTCTGAGATTTAAATATTGGCTCAAGTTGGAGAGGATTATGTGGTGGATCTAAAGATACTAATCCTCCTGATTAATCCTGTTAGAATATCACATGATGGAGTTTCTGCTTGTAAATAGGATTATTCCCCTAGACAGAAAATTCACAAACACAACAGCATTAATATGCCCGTGATGGGGTTTCAGAGTCAACCTTTTAAAAGATGGAATATGTCAGAATTGGTGTGATAAACAACTGAAATTTGGCTCCACTATGCTCTTGTAATGCGATATAATCTCTGGTTATGTATTTGAATATCATATTCTCACAGGAACCCTGTGTCAATGAAGGTACAGAGTGGACTTGCTAGGGAGGTGGATCAGGCTTATGGATAACGGATAAGGCTACTTTCTGTAGGACTCCTGTCTCAGTTATTATGGAATTTGCCAATGTGTCACAAAATGCAGGAGTTCTCGCTCATGCAAAGGAGTTCTCGCTTGCTAAGTCACAGCAGACAGACTTAATAATTGGTTACTACCTGAATGTACCCTAATACCTTTTTGTGGATATACTGATAATTTACTGAAATGGAGAGCACTTACAGCTGCAATAATGTATTGGACTGTTACATATTTACAACCTCTGAAGCAAAAAGGGCTTTACTGTTATGAAATGGAGATCCCAATTCTGTAGCAACTTTTGAGTTAAACGTTTGCAGTTCTGTTTCTGGGCTACAAAATGTGACAATAAATCCATCTTCACTTCCAGGAAGTGTCACAAAGGTTATTAGTAAAGCAGTGTTTAGATACACTAAGAACTGCAGAAAAGTCTCCAGGGGAATAATTCTAGATCGAGGGACAAATATGAATAATGCAGAAGAACGATACCTATATTTTTACTGTTGGCTTCTTTTGGAGGGCCCCAAAGTGGATGCAATAACCTAGACGTGGTGCAGTGAGTACCAAGTAAAAGAGAGCAATGACTTCCTTCATCTGTTGGCCGTGCTCCAGTTAACTCAGCCCAGGAAGCTGTTAGCCTTCTTTCATGTGGGGGCCTGCTGGTAGCTTGAGTTTGGTTTGCTGTCTACCAACACTGACAGTTCATTTCAGAAAATGTAATAAAAATTGCTGAAACAGTAACATCCTTTAAGATACAACTTAATGTCTACCTAGACTATATCAACGACATTTATATGGAATTCTGACTGAACATTTTCAATGTGAAGTGCCAACAGTATGGCATATGCTTTCATAAATTTAAGGCCTAAATTTGCATCAATTATGCTGTGAAAATTTTCACTAGGTGGAGATTTTTAAAAGTTCAGGCAAAGCACTAGTTAACAATGATTAATTATATATGTACTTCCATTAATCTTCAGTCTTGTGGATGAGCTTCATCATGGGGCATTATAATTATCAGTATCTTTGAAAACAACATGATATTCATGTCATGCCACATGACACAAACTTAAATAACTGAGATTTCTAACACAATATGATCGTTTTTAATCTTGAAGGTCCAAATGTTGCCTAAAAGCAGTGGAAAGTTTTTCAGTGTCGACACAAGACACACCCTTTTGCAGGGACAAGGTCATTCCACATCCAAATATAGCCTGGAGAGCTAAACCCGTCTGAGATAATGTCATGATTCGTATAATAATCAGGGTACCTTCATTAAAGGCATTAGTGAGGCAAATCATCAAACCATACAGAATAAGGCATTCTATTACTATATATTCTCATGAAAGCTTTCTTAAGGCTATTTCATTGAATGCATATCATGGGCATCAGTAACTGTCATTCTGTAAGACAGCATTCTGCATCTGACAGAACAGTGGGAAAGACAAATCTATTAGTTTTTTTACTAAGACTTCAAATTCTTTTGTTCAAAAGGGTTTGAACATTTCACGTCAATGGCTCTGAAAATAACAGAAATATGAGGGGAAATCTAAGCCGAGTCCCAAAATGTGCTTAATTTTGATTTTGAGAGAGCTGAAAGAAAACTGACACCGTGATTTTAGCTGACTTCTTTATGCACTAAAATACTAAGTGTACTTTTAACACCATTTTAAATTAAAAAAAGAGAAAGAGAGAGAGAAAGAACCAGGTGTCTTTTCCCTGTCCTTATTAACTGTCAAGGTAACTGCTTTACTGCTTCTGCAAGTATGTTTAAATGGACTCAATCATATGGAAGTGAGTAAGAATACAACCAGATTTATATTTTCAGATTCCAAGCTTGCAATGAATTCTAGGTTACATTCCAGCCCCTACTAAAACCCCCACTATTAAATGAAAAAGATATCCTAAAGTGGAACGAAGTGAGAACTGAACCTGTAAAATCTGACTTTCACAAGCTCTCTGAAGAGGAGACAAGAAAATCCTAACTGAACTGTTTCTCCCTAGTTTAACAGAGAGAATAATGAAGTGTGAGTTAGAACTTTTCCAGAATATGCTGGGTCAAGAAGGGGTCACCATCACCTTAATTTTATTTGTAAAAGGAATGCAGAAGAATCAACCCAGAGGAAGTGGTCCCAAGGCTCACCAGAACCATTAGCTTTCCGGTGGAATCAGATAACGGCAGTCATGCTCAGTCCCACCCTCGGTAAGGCAACCCAGAAGAGAGGTGAGTGCTCTAGAGGTGCGTGTATGGAGGCTGTGCATTATTGCTGGCTGTAACACAAGCAGGGCTCTCCATTCACTGGATATATATCCTGAAATCAGTCAGCAGCACGCTGGGTTTCCTTCCTCTGCAGTTTTCAGAGGAGCAGGTAACAGTGGCAAGTGTAAGGGGTAGTTTTTGTGATGGGGGAAATATATAAATGATAGTGCATGAAGGAAGAAATGAAAGGGAAATTCAGCTCAGTGAACAAAGGGAATACCATTAATGACTTCATTATACTTTTACCTCTGGACCTACCTCTTCTTGAAAGGACTCAAAGCCTGAAGGCACTCAGTTTTTAATAGAGTGCAAAGTTTTAGTTAATCGGACTTTTTCTGTGCATATACCCTGCAGAAATTGTTCTCAAGAAATAGGTTCTAATGCTTCAAGCAAAGCTCTGGAAGCTATTTCTAGCTGGGCACAACGACCTTCTGTTTGATCTTGGTTAATTCACTGAAATTTGTTAAGTGTTTTATATTCTAACAAAAGGGTATTATTTTTCCCTGTATTTTTGTTCAATATCATTATTAATATCTACTCATTCCTCAGAAGAATTTATCGTGTTCAGTTCATGTTTAACTTCTATACTGATACCCTCAGCTGAAAGAAATAATAGAATTATAAATGCACCGTCTTCTGATTCTCAGACAGACAGTAATAACACCTCCAGACAAGCCCAAGCAATTGGAGAGGTTTGATTTTCTGATGAGTAGTCTCTATTGTAATTCATATCCTCAGTAGTTTTATTGTACAGGTGTTCATAGTGGTAGGACTGGTATTCCTCAGACCAAAACTGCATGTAGTCATTGGAAAAGCACACCCAAAATTCAAGATGCTTAGTTATACCTAGGAAAGCTTTAGTAAGAGAAAAGCTTTTTATCCTTCATGCTATGCTACGTAGCTCCTCATGGCAGCAAGATTTAAAAATCCAGATGCAGCAGACGGGAGCAACATGCAAATAATTTGGGCGGTACTGGCAAAGTGCTAGTCTCAAAGCATTAGAACTCTGTTAAACCTGCTGTTTGACAGCTATGAATTCCAGTCCCAACACTGCCTGCAAACAGTTTCCAACGAGTGTCTGCTACTACATATGCCTTAAGGGTGCCAAAGCTTAGCATATGCTTTTTAGCGGGAGCATAAAGCAGTAGTAGCAATATGCATACAAGCAAAAACGCAGTGTTCATTTTGCATATGGAACCTAAATATTTTAGCAGTTGAGAATAACACAATATTGGGTAAATGAGTGTCCTCCATAAGGGAGAAAATGGAGATTATCTTCACCATCCCTCGCTATGTTATTTTTAATGGTATTTCCCATGGTAAGTGTTTCTGGCACACTTGATTATTATCAAGATGACCATACTGAAGCTAAGAAACTTCTATCTCTTAGCTAACATATTCATTAATTTTTGCTTTACTTACTTAACTAAAATTGTAACTGGGCTACCTGGAAAGCTGAATAAGGAGTTACCTAATTCTCTGTAAGACAGTTTATGGAATTTACATTGTTGTGCTTTTATAATAAAGAGAAACACTAAAGCTTGATTGGATCTATTATGTATTATTTATAGATTTCAAGGTTTTCTGTGTAACTTCCTTCCCTGGGCTTTGCAAATTTTCAGTACTATATGTAGTGCACTTCCAAGAGCGATCCCTTAATTTGTAAACATAATTGACACATTACTTACTGTTTTCTTCTGCATTCAATTGCTCTATCTATTCTGAACTCAGGCAAACTAATGAATCCTTCTGCTTTTTCATCCTACCAAAAGAGAAGAGAAAGCGATGGTGAAGAACAATATAGAGTTAAAGAAGAGAGAAGTGAGCAGAAGCCATTTGGGTTTTACACCAAGAACAACTACCCAATCAACTGAAATACTGAACCCTAATGTATTTACTTAGGAAACCCCCCGTATTTACTTCATCATACAATGTTGATAACTTTTATGAACTAAGCTGAGAGTTTCTTAAAGGAGCTGCAGTCATCCAAACACCCCTGTGCTGAAGATTACAGAAAACCTTTCAGCACCTAAAACAGCATTCAGGACATCCACAATTTCTTCATCGTATTTTAAAACTGTTTCGTGGATGCCTTTTTTTAAAGACAATTGGTCAGACCATTTGCCCTGCTAAAAATAATAATTGAGGAGGTTCCTACATTGAGCTCACCAGTAATTAAATGGAACAGTAATACCTAGAAAGTATCTCTTGTCATATTTGCTTCTTTTGAAGTAATTTACCAGGAAAAGCAAGGAGACATATTAGCACCAGTCAGACTTTTGAAAAGTATTAGCAAGTATACTATGAATTATGGCTTGGCTGTAAACAACAGACTGAAAATCAGTTGGACACATAATGACCACCACCTTGCATGTAACAATATCAACTGGACAAAACGTACAACTAAAACCTGAAGGCCTTTATCATCCACAGCCTGAAACAGTACTGGTTTGGGCTGACGAGAAAATACTAAAACTGAGGATAATTATGCTAGTAAAACTGTCCTCTTGAGGAAAATGGAAAACATGCACTAAAATGTCAGTAATCGAAGCAGGTTGCATGCAGACAGTTTAGATCAGGCACTGAGGCTCAATGCACACAAACAGAAGAATAGCAGTCTAACGATTTTTGGGTTCTGCCCTCCATTACTTTTTCCTACCTATATGCAGATTGCACAAGCGTAGGCCCAGCGCTTGTCAAGACCACTTTGCCAAGAATAGTGTTTTACACATGAGAATCTGCAAACTCCAGACTAGTTCAGCAGAAAGCAAGAGGAACGCCTATATGAGAATAACTTTCAGATAGAGACCTACAAATTCAGGTTTTCACATCTGCTTCACATAATGCTTAACAGACATGAATCATTGTACCCTGTATCTCCCAACACTACTGGAAGCAAGGAGAGCTGAGTGTGAGCACTGTGTTTGTCCAAATAAATTCTATGGAAAAGTATGAACTACTGATGTAATCATTTCTTTAAGAATGCCATGAACATCTGTTATATTATTAAGCTTGAACATGGACTTTGGAGATTTTAAAAAATAATAGCAGCTGAAATATTTCCAGCTAGAGAGACCCAGACCTGGCAATTAAAGTGGCATATTTATATGCCCTATCACTAGGGAAAATAGACTTTATTCAAAAGAATGATAAAGCTGAAGGCTTAATTTTGGTTTTCTTCAAACACAGAGTATACTTACATTCTGGTTTGTGTACCAGTACAGGGATGAATCCTTTAGAATAAACCAGTACTTCTTCCATTTCTGTGTGAAATAACCTTTGGCATCCTTTTTCTTCCATAGCCAGCCTTCACAATCTCCGTGCCCCAAGTCTTTGCAGGAAATCCGTCTTCTGCTCCCACTGGTTAGAGAGCTCCCTGGGAACATGACAGTAGCATGAGGCATCTCACTGAATGAGAGAGTGAAAGAACTTTTTTTCTCAATATAAACACACTACAGATGTTTAGTGATGATTCAATTCAAAGTCCTTCAAGCCAAATCCTTTTCAGTTTCAGGGAGAGGAGATTAAATGAAAAATTGCCAAATTTGACAATGCTCTGCAATTTTGGTTTCAACATGAATACAAATGAACAGGGCCTATTTTATGTAATGGCTTATTTAATCTGTAGAGGATTCATTCTTTTTAAGGCTGCATTTTTATCAGATTAAGGTGGGAATCATCATTCCTAAGTAAAACTGCATTCATTTAGCCCACAGTCTGAAACTCAGAGTATGACAATCCCTGTACAGATGTAAACACTACATCTTCCCTATATATATTCTGTTACTATGTTGAGTGATAGAAGGCCTGTCAAATTCTGGGAATTTTTAAACTCATTTTTTATAGTCAATAAAAAAGAAAGATCATCCACTTCCATAAAACCACACATGCTTATGTTTTTTCTACTCTGAATTTAACGGAACAACAGTATTTTAACCTCACTGCATCTTCCTTAAAGACTCAGCACCAGGAAGTTTTTCTTTTGTAGTTATTTCAATACATCCTGAATGAAAAGTTTAAAATTCTAGTGTGCCTTGTAAATATGAATAACAGGAGTTTTTTTTTTTTCTTAATTATGGTATCTTTTTTCCTGAAAAACTCTGTAGGAAGTCTCAAAATATTAAACATTTTTCTATGAAAAATCAAGTTTGTATTGCTACAAGAATAACATTTGTCCTAGAGTTGTGAAAGAGTGAAGAAATTCAGATAACATCAAAACACCATCCTTTGTTCTGCAGCATTCCACAAGTTCTTAACATTTTGCTCATTTTAGAATAACACACTGTGCTGTGTCCTGGTCAGGCTTAGAAGTATTAAAAGTAGAGTACAATGAAAGGAAAAATTTCATAATAGGGAGACTAAACCAACAAATGGAATAAAAAGAGCTACTGGCCATAATGTTTCACATGAATTCAGTACGCTGTAACTATTTGTTTTATGTTAATTGTTTTAACAGTCTCAAATGGGCCATGAAGAAAGAAAGAGCAGAAGGAAATGGCAAAATACACAGATACTACCTTTCTTCTACTTAAGACAAAGGAAATTTTACCACCAAGCCTGGCAATATTATTCCTTATAACACATTTATTTGGTGTTTTAATTTGGTATTTTACTTAGTTGTTTACTATCAAATTTAGAATTATTTGAATTAAGTTGAACTTTGGCATTTGATACAGATAATTTCTTATCAGGGAAGGAGTCTCATTTTCTAGTTTCAAAATGTTAACTCAAATAAGTTACCTTTTGACCATTTTCTGCTTTTTACCCTGAGAGAAGCGTAATGGAATGACTGTAGGGAGAAAAAAAAAAAAAATTATGAAAAACCATTACGGGTAGTAGTAGTAACTCCCATCTCCATGTTATCATAGAGTTAGTTGTCACAGGGTCAGTCATCATAGGATCTCAATTTTGTCATGTTTCTCTTACTACTATTATAAACATCATAAAGAAAACAATACAGTGTACATCTAGAAATTAAAATCCCTTTTTTCAGTTATTAATTACAATTGCAATCAAATCATTAAGGATTCTTTGCATGAATTGCTATGCAGCAGTTTGAAAACTAAGGATATAAACTCATATGAAAGATCTAATAAAATGCATGACATGAAGTTTGTTGTAAGTATACATGAGACAGTTACACAAATATTCAAACAGAAGTATCTACCACAAACATCATATAGTACATGTGTAAAGTCAGGTGTTCAATGACATAATCACATTCTTTAATTGTTTCCAACCATAGAAACAATTAAGTTTTTTAGTTTGGTAGGTTGACAGAATAACTGAGGAGAAAAAAATGAATTTTTCTTTTGTGGCTGCATCATAAAATTATGCAGATTCTTAAAACCACCTAAAAACATCTCATTATTTAAACCTTTTAAAAACAGGGATACTACTCAAAAGATGGTAAGGATTTCCCTCAAACATGTAAATGCTAGGGTAAAAATCACAAGTCAACATGACGAGGGAGCTGCCTGACTGGTAACTGATGCTGCCATTACCAGCAGAAGCACCAGCAGACGTTCGCAGCCTGGTAAACCAGCACATCCAGGCAAAGGGCAGCAGCCAAAGGGCCATTTTTTTAATAGTCCTGATTTTTCCTTTGTGACAGACAACACACAGCTCAGCAGAGGGCCTAGAAGGGCACCTCAGTCAGTGATGGGGCTATCTCCATCCTACCTTAACTGGTGGTATGACTACAGCTAATTACTTACTCCCAGAGAGCATCTAACTGCTCACCCGACCCTATGGCAGCTCCCCACCATGCAGTCAAAAAACAAACACATGCTACAGAGGTCCTTATTAACAGTCGTGGTGCAACGTATTAAATAAGTGTTTAGATGTCACAATATTAAAATTTACAAATAACTGAGGTTTATAATGAAAATTAAAAAAAATAGTTCAATTCATATTGAGGATAACGAAGGATTACAGCTTAAGCACTACAGAAAGGCAACAGCTGAAGACAGGACTCCAACTACTGGAGAGGCAAAGTTTAATTTGAAATAAAAGGGGAGGAGGGGCAAGTTGTTTTGCACATCCACAGACCTATTTGTAACCCTTCTGCAACTTAGTTTACAGCTTTGAACAGAATGGACATTTTCTAGTGACCTGCAGAAATCAGCAATTCCTGACTCCTGAAGATAGCTGGCTCAGAGAACACCAGCTTTCTGTGTTCTGTTAATCTCAGGCTGTTCTCCCAGCCAGTTATGGTACATGAATGCTTCACAGAAATGTGGTAATTCCGACAGGTGACCAGCTCTGTAAGTGTGCATGCATTGTATCACCATAAGACAGTATATATTCTCCATTTAACTGGATGGCTGCAAATTTGTCTCTTTGTTTTGAGCACTAGAGAAGACAGATTCATGCCTGCTCCTCTGCTATAGGAAATGTAGTAAAAAATCAGTCAGAAAACAAACAAAAACAGTAAGTCTGGGAGAGAGTATTAAAGATGCACAGCAACACTGGGTTTTTTGTTGATGTATTGCAAACCACAGCCACAGTATTGGTCAGTCATATTGTGCCAACTCTGAGTTCTGTAGTGACCGACTGAAACAATCTGTTCAATGTTCCATTTTCTGTATAAAAATGCATTAAGGCAAATATCTGTTTCTGAAAAAGGTATTTTTCAGACCAAATTTATCCATAGTTTAGGCTAAAAAAAAAAAGTGATGGAATAAACCTATAATTAAATTACAGTTTTCATATGTGATTAAATCTAAAGAACTGCAAGAAAAATGGAACAACTGGAGGACACACACATTAGGATACTGACCAGAAACTGGTATGTCATCATTCAGTATAAAAGTTTTAAAAATAATGAAAATACAAGCACAACAAATCAAGGAGAGCTGAAAACATTAGCTCTTCTCAAAGCATAAGTTACCTAGGCTAACCATGTTTTGTTTATGCACACATACAATGTATTCAAAGCAAGAAAACTAGAGAAAGTGAAAGGTTTGCGATACCTTGGGAATCAGTACTTAATTAGCACTGCTAACTTACAAAATTCAAGCATCATATTTTGAGAGATAAAGGCAGTACTACATAATTAACTTTGTGGTAAACGCTAAGAAAACAGTCAGAACTTGCAACTTGAAAATGACTCAGAGTTGCTACGGGAAACAGAGAGATGATGTGAGAACATACTGTGGTTGTCAGCATATAAGTTCTCATCTCAAAACCACAACACAAAGTAGAATGTTAAACAGAATGCACACCCTCCCACCCCAACCCAAAAAGAAGCACACCATGGAAGAAAAAAAGCGAGAGAATTGAATCTGTGCTACGTGAAGCTGAACTGATGAGAGCTGAACACAGTCACAGTGTGCTAATAGGAGCGCTGTCACACAATCACCAAACAAAACGTTATGCTGTGTTTGAAAAACGGCCTGGTTCAGTTACCTGCCAGGGTGAAGGGAACCAGCTATTAATGCACAACCGGTTGCATGTACCTCTGCTATTTTGAGCCTTTGGTGTTTTTAAGGAAACCCGGTAACAAGTTCCAAATGCAGTCATCGGTGCACTCAGTAGCCAAGTACACAAATCACAGGGCATCTAGTGCTGATTTATATGATTTATCAGATTACGTGTATTAGACTGTTTGCACTACTGGGATCCCAGGGAACGGCCAAGGTCCCAGCGTTTTCCAGTGGAGGTAGCAGGCAAGGTAGGTATTGGCACACAGGGACAGCATCTCAATAAACACAACTGCAGGTTTTCACAAACTGCAGAAAATGTCTATGATTCTCCTCCCCAAACTAGTACATACCTTAGAGCACATCCTAAGGTTCCTACTAACCTTAACTGACAGTACTGTGCACACACTGGGCTGCTGGGGGTGCAGTAGTTACTTCTGTGGCTATAGAGATTACTCCTAACTCTGTTTTCAGATGTTTTATAATATAAACAAATTCCAAGGTTTATGATATCTTCAGTATCTTTTAACAATATGGCAATGAATTGAACTGTTGGGATATTTTTTTTTTTTAAGTAAATTTATAAATCATTACCTTCCTCATGGATGTGCTTCCTTGACGATCAATGGCAGAACTAGCATATCTAGGACAGAGAGGAAGAAAAGTATCAAATAACTGCAGAAAATAAATAATCTGAATAAGAAGTGCATATACGCACACACTCTATGCATTTCCAAATGTATACTTACAGGTTTAATCACGGTTCAAAGTTATTTAAAATGCAGGACTTAAAAAAGGAGGTCATTTATTATTAAGAAACACAAAACCATTCTTAATATACACATAAATCATCTGAGAATATCTGGTTCTTATTCAGTCACTGGCCTAAAATTACTCAACCCTGGTCAGCTAAGGTTCAAAGCAACCAGCACAATTCCTCCCTCCTAGGGACTAAAGCCTTAGGACATATAAATCATCGATTCTTTGTTGCAGGGCTAACTTCTATCTGTGCATTTCATTCACCATCAGCTTGTAAACACAGATGTAGTTGATTCCTGGTTTCCAGACTGAAATGGGAAAGAATAAATATTTTTAAACAGGAAAAAGATAGAAATAAAAATTTAAAAATTAGCAATTTTGTTTTAGGAGTAATTCACATTTTAAAATGTAACAGCTTAAAGATATGTATTTGCACTGATATTCTGACCTTTAGGAAAGACTCATCCATGTTCCATATTTTGAAAAGTTCGTTCCTTCCCATGTCATTACAGAATCAAATCAAGGATAACCCAAATTGCTTAGTATGGGTCTTGCTGTGAGTTACCTTTTGGATATCTTAACTTTAGCAATATGCAAGCATGTGTATGAACACTCAAACATTAGTAAGTATGTAAATGTCAGGTCAAATTTGACATAACTGTGAGAAGTGTGACTGGCAGGTAGAGGGAGGTGATTCTCCCCCTCTGTTTCACTCTTGTGAGACCCCAACTGCATCCAGCTCTGGGACCCCCAATATCAGAAGGATATTGACTGGTTGGAGCAAGGCCAGAGGAGGCCACAAAGATGCTCCGAGGGCTGGAGCCCCTCTGCTATGGGGACAGGCTGAGAGAGTTGGGCTTGTTCAGCCTGGAGAAGAGAAGGCTCCGGGGAGACCTTATAGCACCTTCCAGTACCTGAAGGGGCTACAAGGAAGCTGGGGGGGACTTTTTATAAGGGCCTGTAGTGACAGGACAAGGGGTAATGGGTTTAAATTGAAACAGGGCAGATTTAGATTAGTATGGGTAAAAAAATTCTTCCCAGAGAGGGTGGTGAGGCACTGGAACAGGTTGCCCAGAGAAGCTGTGGATGCCCCATCCCTGGAAGTGTTCAAGGCCAGGCTGGATGAGGCTTGGAGCAACCTGGTCTAGTGGAAGGTGTCCCTGCCCATGGCAGGGGGGTTGGAACTGGATGGGCTTTAAGGTCCCTCCCAGTCCAAACCATGCTGTGATTCTACAGTATGTTTGCCAGGTACAGAGAAAGTCTAATATTGTACTTTGTTCTGTTCTTTCCCCATCAACTCCTCTTTCATATTCCTGCAGCACCTAAAACCAGGAAATTGATAAAACCTATAGATATTCAACAGTTAACTAAAAAACTTTTATCATCAGGAAAAACTAATTTTTTTTCAGTACTGATATTCTAACAGCATCTTCTTGGCTGGCAAACAAGGAATGAAACTGTTACATTTGCTATTGGCAGGAAAGGTGGTGATCACTTTCTGTGGGCCCAGACACAATCCTGATGTAAATAATAGAAAGTTAACAACAGATTGAACACCAAGTAAACTGTCCTAAACTAACTTTAACATAGGCTCCAACTGCTGTTA